GGCAGGAGCTCAGAGCTCCACATCAACCTCCCCGTGCCCTGCTGAGGCCAAGGGCAGGCAGGGAGCTGCTGGCTCCATGGGCAGGGATGAGGTGACACTGAGCCTTGGATGCACAAGAGGAAGCCAGGAAGTGGCTGGAGTTTTCCCTGGTGTTCAGCAGTATCTTGACTCCAGACCTGGACTAACACAAACCCTCATTGCTGTGGGTATTTCTTCCCCCTTTTTTCCCCTATTTTTATGGAAGGCCAACACAGGAACGTGGCGCAGGGGGGTGTACACCACACACTGCCGAAAAAAACACAACCACTGCCTAACGGGAGCCATCCAAACCACTGCCCCTGTGCAGGGCACCGTCGGGTAGAGATGAGGCCTGGAGGGACACGCTCCAACCCAGCAGCTTCAGAAACCACTTCTCAAGGCAGTTTAGGCAGCAAACACCAACGTGCTGCTCCGCATCCACTGCTGCTTCCCTCCTCCAGGATGAAAACCTGGGAAGCACTTGGCTCAAAGCTGCGTTTATGTGGCCTTGTCTTTAGAACAAGAGCTGGGGAGCAGCGGGGTCCCTTGAGCCTCTTCAGTTTGCAGCCTCTTCCTTCAGGTTGTGCAGAACCTACTGTGTTTTGGGTTTTCAAGCGTGAATGATGTGCAGGGCTTGGTTTTAGGCAGGTGGTGGGAGGTGCATTATAAAGGAGTTTTATTTTTGGGATGAAAATACAAGGGCTTGATGGCAGCTCTGTAAATAGCTGTGAAATCCCCTCTGAAGGGCCCGGGCTGCTCCGGGTTCTTCTCTACCTCCATGTGCAGTGTGTGACTGTCTCGGTGCTGCTGCACTTACCCCCGTTGTGCACAGCTCCAGAGAACACAGAGGAGCTGCTCCCATCATCCTGTCCCCTGTGGTGGTGTTTTAAACAGTGCCAATTATAAACTATATTGCTCCTAACACTGGAATAGAGTTGACTTCAGGATCTCGCACGTGTGGATCGCATCGGTTCCCACTGCTGCCTTGTTTGTAGCTGTTTCCTCCTTTGCTAGAGGCTAAACTAAGGTTTTTGGCTTTCCTTTTATTAGGTTATAGTGTTAGAATGAATCCTGCTGCACAGGCTGCCTCAGCTACCCTGTTTAAATGTAGTGGGACAGTTTGCAGATGTTACCTGCGTGTTCCTTGGGAGGTTTAGGTACAGTGGGTGCAGGATGAACCCCGTGCGCTCAGGGAGGGCTCCTGGACCAGCACTGGCTCTGCTCATGTTGGCAGCAGCATCTCAGAGGCTGGAGGGAATGTTTTTGACACACTGGAGTGCCTGTAGAGCGGAGGACTTGGTTTGTTCCAAGCGGAGAACCTCCTGATGGCTTTAGCAACGTGCTGGTAACTGAAGAAGAGACTCACGTAAAGCCCCACTTGTTTAATCTTCAGCTAATTTAGCTTTATTTGCGCACTCTCAGCCTGATGTGCATGTTCTCAACAGTAACAGAACAGGTATCCTGTGCACTGAGGTGCAGGGTTGATGGTCTCAGCACTTTGGAGTGACCTGGTGTCAGCCGTGGTCCCGCCTGCTGTGCATAAACTGCCTGGCTTAGTGGAACGCTGTGTTACAAAGCTCTGCATGGGAAAGGGTGCACTGCAAGCACTGAAATGAGGGTGGGCACGGGGAGATTCTTGCCTTAGGAACACTGTGAATTCACTCATTGATCAGCAGCACCTGAAAAATGTACAGCTTTAATTAAAAAACATTCTCGGAAATGACTTTCACGCTCTTGGCTTTACTTGTAACACAGAGGAGGAGGGGACAGGCTGTGCTGCAGGGAAGCTGTTCCAGAGGCAGGTCAAGGGCTGCAGCTTTGCTCCGACAGCCTGAGCTCAAGGTCTGCAGTAACTGTGGGAGGATCATTGCCCAGGGCTCAGCCTGAGCTAGATCCAGGCACCCGCTCCCTCTGGTTGCATTTACTCTGAAGGAACAAAGCAAGGAGGCAGTTTTCATCCACTCTGCTCTCTGCAGAGTCCTTCCTCACACAGCAGGAACTGGAAATACTGAAGTGATTCAGCAGTGTGGTTCCTGTTCACTTCCAGCTCCAGCAGCCACCAGGAGAGATCCCGCATCCACCAGCGTCCCCTTGAGTTCAGGTACAGTTGTGACTCCTCCTGCACGTCCCTCCCCGCCCCACACACACCGGAGCTCCAGCAAACTGGTCGTTCACATTAACCAGACCAAAGCAGTTCAGAATTCAGTCGTTTTGCTGTGAACAGCCCTAAAAACACCCACGTGTATAAGTACAGTGAGAGGCACACGTCACCTCCAGCAACAACAGCCCAAAGCTCTTCCACATCCATCTGTCTTCTGGCAAAGCATCACAACACGCTGCATTAAACCAGATGTGCTTTCCCAACCTCTTGGATTGCTCTGGTAAACTACTTGTAGTGGTTACATCTCACAGGTGCCTTGTAGTAACTGCTGGGAAGTAACACCTCTCAGAGACACCAAGGGCTTTGTCCTTCCTTGGAAAGCAAGCTGGCAATCCCCAAAACACTGAAAATACTGTTTTCTCTGACTTAAATCACATTATCCATCAGTAACTGCTGTCAAGGATGGGGTAGATGTGCCAATTCTGACTCCCTCCACTGTGTATTTAGGGAGAGAAAGAGAGCTGTAATTACCCACAGCTACAGATGGTTGTTGTAATTAAAGGGAAAAAAGTCACTCTCAGCTTTTCCTTCAACATTCAATTCACATTTGAGCAGGGAAAAAGCAGCCCCAGAGATGCTGCTGCCTCTGGGATGCTGGTACCACCCCCTGTGACAGGGCAAAGGCACCACAGGGCCTCAGGGCAGTGACATGTTAGAACAGAACCCGAGGTCTAATGAGACCATTTCTACCTCACTGAGGGTGTCCCAGCAGAGACAGCCATAGAAATGAGTGCTGTGAACACACAGCAAGGCCTGGAGGAGTAATTCTATCATGGAGCATAAAGCTCATCTCAGTGAGGTAACAGCCCACTGCGAGCCAGATCCTTCAGGACCTTAAATCATCAGTTCTGGGAGGAACAGGGCTGTAAAGGGAGTGCAGGTTTATCCTGTGTAGAGCCCAGGCTGCATTAGTGCTTCCTTTGACATGTGTTTTAAGTCAGTGTTTGGGTTTTATTTACATCACTTCAGTAATCATAAAGCTGTAGGTATTAACTTGCCTGCCCATACACACGTTGCCTCCTCATCCCTCAGGAGTCAGGAATTGCACAGAACTTTAGCTCTCTTCTGAGAATCTTAAATATAATAGGGTCAAAAAGGCACTGAGAGTCTGTCTCTGGGCTTCCCAGTGTCACCACTTGATGTTAAACCCAGTGCTTGTCTTCTCCACGGCGTGGTATTCCGTGTGCAAGGCTTCCACAGCCTTTTCCGACTCCACACCACCCAGCCACTGCTCATAGAGTTCATGGACAGCGTGGTTCCCCTCTGGCATTGCAGTCTGAACAGACTCATACAACCTCTCAACTTCCTGCAGCTGCTCCTTGCTGGAGTCCCCATCGAGCTTGATCTGACCACCTCCATTTAAGCAGCCTGTGTGCAACGAGGTGAGAAACCATCAGTGAGCTTAGAAAGCACTTCAGCTTCACCAGACAACCCCAAAAGACACCCACAGCTCAGGTACTCTGCACCTGCAAACAGCTGCAGGAATGAGAACATGGTGATAACTGTGGTTTACTCCTCAGTTATCCAATGGCAGGTAGAAAGAGACTCTTCACCAGCCACAGCAAGTGTTCCCTAAAAGCATTAACAGTCAATTCTGTGCAATTTTAGAGGAAGAATCTCCTCATGTACCAAAGGGCTCAGAAAACCAGGAGGGCTTCCTTAAAATCACTAACTGTGCAAATTTTGTGCACTGGAATTTAACTGTCATTCCTTAAATCCTGGATTTCCTGCTTCTAGGCAGGAAAACATACACACAACGTGAAAATACTGGTGCTGTGATTGTCACGTCTCCAGAGCTTGGTGGCTCTGCCACAACATCCAGGATGTGGGAAACTGCCTGTTGGTCTCATGCTCTGGGTATAGCTTCAAAGAGCTGCTCAGAGCTGTGGGCTGAGGCAGTGCAGTCCCAGCGTGGTCATTACCTGAGGGACAGGCCATGACTTCCACGTAGTGATACGGTGATTTCCCTCGTTTCAGCTTCTGCACTAGGTTCTGTATGTTTCGAAACCCATAGGCCAAAGCAAACTGGAGCAGGACTGCTCCATCCTTCTCCAGTGTCACCTCCTGGAAGTCCTTGTTTCTGAGGAGCAAGAGCAGAGAAAACATCTTCTCCAGATTAACTTCTATTTTAAACTTCAAAGAGCCCTGTGCTAAGCCAGGTCTTACTCAAGGAAACTGTCCTAGTTCTTTGCCACCCAAACAAAAGAGATGAAGGAACCATCTGACAGATCCTCCTCCGTCTGCTCTGAGGACCTGCCACCTGAGCTGGCTTTGCTGGGGAACACCTGTGTTGAATAAACCCTTAAAAGCCGAGCAAAGGGAGCCTGACCAAGAGTTTCATTGTGGCAGAGCTTCAGAGCTGGCTTCACCCAGCTTAGAGGAAGCCTTTAAATTGGAGCAGGTCATAAAACCAGCGAGCAAACCATTGCTGAAGGCTGCCAGGCTCCTAAGGTTGGTGGCAATACCTGTTCCTGATAAAAGAGTGAGTAATTTGATTTTTATCATGTATTTCATACTGAGACTTGGGGGGGGCTGTTTCTTCTGCTTCCTACACCAGAGAATCTTAAATATTACTAATCAGGGACATAATGAAGGGTACATTAGTGTTGTAGCTGGTGCAGGGTTGTAGGTGGTGGAGTAGTGCTGTAGCTGCTACAAGGAATCTCAGCTGAACGAGCCTCCATGCCCACACTGAAGGGACTTGTTTCCTGCCTCACCACAGCAGTTAGAAGAGCCCCAAAGCCCTGACACAAGCTCTTCTGTTCTGTGCTAGTGAGATTAGCAACTACTTCATTGGCATGGCTGCAGGTGAGGCAGCCCAGATCCATGGGAGCTCTGCCTTCTAAAGGACTCCAAAAACTGTCTGCAACTTGATAGTGGGAAAATCCATCAAGCCAAAATAAAGCCTGTGGGTGGTGCAGGGGCTGAAGTCTCCAAGGGAAAGGCTGTGTGAGCACTGGCTGATTTATTGCCCAGCAACTGGGGAGTGAGAAACCAATTCCCATGCCTTGGAGTAAAATGTTTAACATTGCAAAGAAGGTTTCAGCCCATCAGCAAGATAAGAGCATGAACAGAATTCCAGTGAAAATAGTGCTTTCTGTAGGGCTTTAAGCTTCTTACTTTAAAGGTTTGTACTGAACTGTATCCACTTGAATTCCAAAGAGCTCCTTGGCTGCATATTTGTATATGTGCTCCAAGTAGCCACCAGAACCACCTCCAGAGTGGCCTGTGAGCTCCTCTTCTGCAGTGCTGAACCTGGGCAGAAGGAAGAAAGAAACAGTTTTAGGGGACTCTGTGATAAACCAGAACAAGCAGCACACATGCAAAGGTCCAGGGGACTCAAAAGCAACAGAAGCAGCTCCCTTCGAGCTCCTTGCTTTTCCTTTTCTCTTGGGAACCAACTATTTATAGCTTCAGAGCCCAGCAGCTTTAACCCTGTGCTGCCTGCATCCTCTGGTCCAGCTCAGTGCAAATACCATCACATGCCACAACCGGGCCTGTCCCTGCCAACTTAATCTTCATGTACCAAAAATACATTTGGGAATGTTGGGAGTTGTAAGGGCAACGTGTAGTGTGTTAGCTTCCTGTTTAATACCTCTGCAAGCATCCTGGATTACACTTAGAAACGGGAGGGAAATACTAAAGCTGTAGTGATAGAGGTCTGTGCTTCTCTTGGAGAACACAACCTGGCAGAAGTCCTGCCTCAGTTAAGAGACATCTCCTCAGTGCTAAAGCTTTTCTGCAACACCAACAAAAGCAGAGTTCACGATTGAAAGCTCTAGTTCTGTGTTACAACACGTTCTTTAAAAGCAGCTACTTTAGATGTGGTTGCTGGGACCTGAGAGGTCACTGCTGGGAGGTATCAGTGCTATGACCACAAGCAGAGAGAGACAAACCCCACGTTGTTGTGGTTCCATGTGCCTGAAGTCGGGTAGGAAAGGTGAACAAAGCTGCTGGTGCCAGGACGTGGCTGTCCTCAGCGGGATCCTGGTTCAAGTTCAACACACTTGTGTTTAACCTAAGTTCTGCCATTCTAGTTCTGCACAAGTAATTCCATCTCCCTGACAGGCCAAAACACAAGCAGCTACTCAGAGGTCAAGATAGTGTTTCTTGAGAATATCTCACCAGATGGAAGCCACAACAATAGCTTTTGTTAGGAGAGAATAACAAGATGAGGGAGCTGCTTAGAAGCACTCCTCAGGCACTGACACTTGCATTCTCCTGCTAACAGCTGCAGAAGGGAAAACACTTGAACTCGGGCCAAAGAGTTTGAAGTCGAATGGAAGATGTTGCCTCTCCCAGATAACATCTTTGCTTTGGCAGAGCTGCAGAAGGCAACACTCGAGCCTGCAATCACCCCTGAACCTATTTTTAATTCGATGTTGTTTACAGGAACTGAGCTTCATTAGCAGCATGTTTCAGTGTGTCTGGCCTCACGTACTGCTGCTCCTCCAAACTGAGGCTGCCGGCGAAGCCTCAGCGCTGGCCTGGAGCAAACAGTTACAGCAGCAAAAGTCCCGGGATTTCTGGCACTTGGGCTCATTCTTGCTGCCAAATGTAATAACCTCTTAATGGGCTTTTCCACGTGCTGGAGGATAAAGCAGAACAAGAGCCATCGGAGTGCTCCAGGTCCTGAGGAATACGTGCTGTTTGTAGGCAGTCAATTTACCCAGTGTGTTAAAGCTCCAAGAGGTGATAGAGGCGCTTTATCACCGCAAGCATGAGGCCCAGTGCTCACAATGTCCTCCTAAGAACCTGGCCAGAGATGCTTATCAAGTAATTAGACATTCAGTTCTATGTTATAACTGACACTTCCATAATGTCATTTCCTCAGGGAACCCAAACACTGCAGAACCTTCTTTCCTTCTCCATTTTCTCTTAGTGCTGTAACAATAAAGCGGGCACAACAGAAGTACTTGTTTACGGGGGCAAGGTTTGAAGTTGTACCTTTGGGACATGACCTTGGAGACATTCATTATAGCTGAGGGTACTCTTCTTTTTTGATGTGAAAGTTACCTGTGTACGTGTAATGTTAGAGAGGCACTGAATCAAGGAACAAATGTACGTAATAGTGCTAGTAAATGTGTTGGGTGAAACCTACACCATTGTAGGTTCTTCTGCAGTGTAGCAGAAGGAAACTGAGGCTCTGTGCATGCACACTGTTGTAAACCTCTTCAAGTATCCCTTAGATGACAGGGACTGGAGGTAGACAGTCTCTACCTCACGTTTTCCTACTTTTCAGAAGCACAGGAGTGACCACTGTTTGTAACAAAACTAACCTAGGAAATAGGCCTTGTGTATGGACACTTCCCTTCATGGCTCAGGCAACAGACATCTGCTGATCAGGCAGCTCTTGAGCAAAGGCTGCCAATGGCACTTGGTTGTACCAGAAAGACTCGAGGCCTATGTAGGAATAAACCACATCTCAAATCAAGAGTGTCCCATCTGCAAGGGGTGCAGCTGAAAACAGATTAATGTCCCAATCTAAGCATGTGCTGGATGCTGCATGTTTGAGGGCTCAGAAACTCTCCCAAAAACTAAAGGGTTTGAACCATAGACTTATCTTTCGTAATTCCTAAAGGTTGCCAACCATGCAGCCTTTCTGTTTCTTCATGTGCAAAGTGCTATGGAGACATGTCTTTAAAACTGAAGAATGCTTTGGTTTAGTGTTAGTGCAGAACCAGCACCACACGTCAGCTGAGAGGAGTAAAATGGGATCTTAGCGTTTCCGCCGGCACTTAACCAGATGTTACTCTTCAGTTCAAGCAACTAAAGCCTCATCTGGTTTGCACATGTCTTAGATTGGTGTTTTAACAAATACAAGACTCCTAGAGATCAGCTGAGGCACCTGAATACTTCTAGTTTATGCTTTAACTCTGGTAACGTGGGACAGAGCCGCGCAAGCTGAGCACAGCGCAGCAACAGGCTTTGTTTTAACCAACTCTTCAGCACTGATGGACATTCTTGCACTTCTCAAAGGTTGCAGGTGGATTTTTGCAGGATTACACTGTGAGTAACAGTAAAGGAAGTAAAAGGCTGTCCCACAGTTGGTGCTTCTCTGCACAATTATTTTGCCATTATGCTCTTACTAAGCCAATTCTAGCAACCCTGTTCATTTACAGTGAGAGCAGCTGATCCTTGGGCTACTGAAGTATAGAACAAATAGTTACAGGCTCTCCAAAAGCAGAAATTCATCATATTCTGTAGATTAAGTATTTCGATGCACAAGTGCCTGTATTTGAGTGACCCGGGCTACAGGCTCTCCAAAAGCAGAAATCCATCATATTCTGTAGATTAAGTATTTCAATGCACAAGTGCCTGTATTTGAGTGACCCGGGAAAACAAACTGAATGTGAACACGTGCAGCTTGTGTTGAACACTAGTGGGAAGGGGGATTCTGTTGAAGAACTCTAGAAATGCTGGAGGAAAACAGCAGTGAAGATGCAAATGAGATTTTGTTCTTACATGGTATCCAGTGGAGCAGGATCTACATCTGATAGAGATACTCCTTCTTGTTCCAGCAGCTTGAGCACTTCTCCTAAAACAGAACCACAGACATAAAAGGTTCTTATTTTCAGGATAAAGAAAACCAAAATCCACAGATCAGTAGGTAAGGTTTCATCTACAATTTCTGCCAGGACATACATGCTTTGCATTATCAAATGTAATGAACCAGTAATATCCATACGCTACGTCCTCTCTCAGAGACAAAGGGTTATTAAAACTAGCAAAAGCCTTGCTCTGAGGCTCCCATCCATTAGCTGGACTGCCCCTGGCTCTGCTTACCTGTGGTGATTACACAGTCCACATCACGAGTTTGGTACTCCTGGTTGAAAAAGTCTGGCCTTGAAGCCTCTAGCTTTTTGTCATAACAGGGCATCACTGTTACGTGGTATATCTGGTTGGGTGTTAAGTGCTGGAAGAAAGACAAAGCTGTGCAGCTGGATTGGCCAATATCAAACCAAGCTCTTCAGGGAGATGTTTTCCTGGTAGAAATGAGAATGATGTTTCCCCCCACCTCCTTTTGTTAGTGCAGATGATCCAAAGCCAGTCAGTGAAGTGAACTCCTAATAATGCAGTTAAGAGAATACGCTGCTTCTGTGCTACTAAAACCCAGCCCCTGCATCAGCGACTAAGAAATGGTCTGGAGTCAAACAAAACACTCCTGGCCATCCAAGAAATAAGCACAGGCTGAGGAAACAAGTCATTGACTCAAGGCCATTGTTTCAGTATCTTGTGCCAAATACTCTTAGTAGCTGCCAATTTCTGTAGCGAGTATGCAGATGTCAGCATTTACTTAATGCAAGTGTTAAACCACTGCTCATTAATGGACAATAAATCATACAATCAGAACTGGTGCTTAGGTTTCTTAGTGGACCAATCTAGGCTGTTATAGGATAGCTCTAGTCTTTAAATATCAGATTTACATTTGGATAGATGCCAAAGGTTAAAGACTGCAACAAAGCCAAATTGCAACGGAACATTAAGTTGGGAACAAGCAAGACATGATCTGCACGTATGCACTGACTGAAGTTCTGTCTTGCTGAATAACTTAAGATAAATTACTCTAAACAACATGAAAATACCACATGTAGACAAGATGAGAGCACAGACACTGAAAAATAAGTCTCCCAAGCCTTCCCAAGTGACACACAAAGTATGAAGTAGTCCATGCAGTCTGTGCTTAGTGTTACTGCCCTAGTTGCTAACTTCTCATTAGACGAAATAGAAGTGAGAAAGATGTTGCCTTTGCTGGTTTTTGCAAGGGAATTTTTACCTTTAAACTCTAATGTATAACATGTAGTAGAACAATTATCAGCTTAAAGCCTTCAGTTTTAGCTGTCTGCCACAAAGCACAGTGCACACTTCAGAGCCCTACCTGCTGCGCTGCAAAATAGCCCTTGATCAAGGAGCCCATGACCTGCTGTGGAGACTTGGTGGTACTGATATAAGGAATGATGAAGCTGCCATGGGTTTTCTCTGCATAGCAGATCCAACCTGGGAAGAGTATAATTAGCAAATTAAATTAGAACAGAACAAGCCCCTCACCCTCCCTTCAATCCCTGGCTTAGTAGCCATTAATAACCACTTTCAGCCTGGCTTCAGCACAAAAAGCAAAGGAAGTGTCACACAAGCTCCAGTTTACACATCATTAGGTAACTGTATGGATCGCTGCTACTAAGACTGACATCTCTTTGTATTATGAAGAGAGTAATCCTCTAAGTACATCTACCCACTTACACTTTTCTGACCAGCTTTTTGGGTTTCTGTTCTGTACCAGTCAAATGCCATTGTTTTATTTCCACAAGTAATTCAGTGCCATACCTGGACAGGCAGAAGCAAGCATTGGCAAAGCCTTTTTGTCCTCTGATTGCTTTCGAAAGCGCTTCACAAACTCCCGCTGGCTCTCCAACAGGCTGAAGTTTCTGGAGAAGGTTGTATCGAAAACATAGTGCACACCTAGAGAGTACAGCACCTGGGTTAGAATTCCCAGGGAAGAGACAGCAAGCTACAACAGAAGCCTCCAGTCAAACCAGACTCAAACCACATCTTATTTACAGGTACCAAACCCCGCAGTCACGGGTGACCCTTATTCCCTAGAGCAATAAGATGAGCAGAAGTGGCAGGAGGACTCCAAACCTAAAATGTAAAGTTCCTTCCTTCCATCACTCCAAGTTTATCATGTGAGTGAAGCTGTAGACAGTTTAATTAATTAGCTAATGCCAATTATGAAGCATTGTGAGTACCATGGGGAGGTAATGTCATAACAACCCTGTGTGCTCCTAACAGTGATGCTTAAGTTACCCCAGCAGAGATGAACCCCTCTGTGATTAAGAGAACACAATACCACACTTGCCTAAACTCTTCAAGAATGCAGTCAGCTTCTTTGCTGTCTCCAGAACACCCATTTTACATCTTGCAGCTAGTGAAGCTCTGGACTGGGGTGAAACAGAAAGCACCACCAACTTCTGCTCACTGGGAGTGGCAGTCTGAAGAATCAAACAAACAACACTGTTCAGACAGTATTAGTAAAGCACGTGCAGAACCTTCAGCACTCTACATCATCAGATAGTTAACTCTGAAGCCAGTAACTTACTACATTAAAGGTCCTTTCCAAACCCATGAGTACTTCTGAAGACATTGGAAGAAGCACAACAGTGCACTGAGAATGTCCTCAGCTCTCTGGTACTCATTTGCCATGACTTACCTTGTTAAAAGCCAGCACTTTGCAGAGCTCTTCATGGCTCTGCTGAGTGATTAAAACACTCTCTGCTGATGTGATGCAGCCACTACATGCTAAACAGTCGTTCAGGGTAATTTTAGCCTTTTCCAGTTTCTGTGCTCCTCCATCCTGTGAAGAAACAGATCAGACTCAGTTCTGATCACAGGTAGAACGAGGCAGCAGTTTCCCACCTTTACTATGCTTAGTACAGAGATGTTGCCTTTCTAATGCTCTCAGTTTATCATTAAAAAAGTATCTTTTAGTAAGATGAGGAGGGACACAAATACCTTTGAAGTTTCCTGCTTTAGTAGGATTATTTGGCACCAGATGCAAACATGCTGAGGAACTTCAGGAAAACTTCAACAAGACCAAGACTGTAACTTTCATCAAATGCAGAACAGTTGCTTAGGCCACAACTATTTGTGCTACGTGGTGGGCTCCAAAATGCTGGAATTCTACTATCCCAGAGGCAAAGAGGGTTTATCTTGCCTGGTTTTTCAACTTGTGGGTGGCTGAAGATTGCAGCTGCTGTTTTAACCCACGAGACTGTAGACCATAGAAATCCTCACTAAGCCTTTAAGCACCCATCTCTAGCACACGTTGAATACTGCCCTGGTGAAAGCATGCCAGCTTTGCCACCTCTATCAGATACTGCTCACGGCATTC